CAATGCAGGCTCCAAGTCCTGGGCTCAAGCAATCCTCTTGCCCCAGCCTCCCAGGTAGCTGGGATTACAGGCATGTACCACCACACCCGGCTAATTTTTTAATTTTTTGTAGAGACAGAGTCTCACTATTATTGCCAGGCTGGTCTCAAACTCCTGGGGTCAAGTGATCCTCCCATCTGGGCCTCCCAAAGTGCTAGGATTTCAGGCATGAGCCACTGTGCCTGGCTGAACATCTTTTCTTAAATGACAATTTGTGATCCTCTTCAGTTAGTTCCTTCATTATGTTTCCTCTTCTCTGAACTGTCTTGTTTCTATAACCTTGGCCCATTTTCCCGCTAGGTTTTTTTTCAATAGTTGTAGGCTTAAATATTTAAGACTTAAGACTTATCTTTCACTGCCCATCTTAAAATTCAAAGTACATTCCTAGGAAAAAAACCTGAATTAAAAAACTTGAATACATCAAAGTAATGACTCCTTTTTCAAATACGCCAGCTCAGAAGCACTATCTTAAGGACGTGCTCTGCAAAATGCGGGGCTGTAGGTGCAGTGAAGGCTAAGTCACTTCTAAGTTCTCATGTTGGAGTCCAAAAGCTTGGGAGTTTTAGAATGGGCACAACTATTTACCTGGTGACCTCTCTGTCCTCAGTCTAATACAAAGGAGTACAAATGGAGCTTGCGGGTACCTGGAAAAAGGAAAACCTTAAGCAGCCTCAGTGAAAAATTCTCTCCTTATTTAATAATCTCTACACTATATCCTCCAGCTTCCAAAATTTTATGGAAAGTATTTAGGGACAAGGGAAAAACTGGAAAAAGGCTATTACAATATTAAAATCAAAATGGTTTTCAGGTATATGAAATTTCTATGGTGTAGATGAAGTTATTTGTGTAGATATAACACATATCCACAATTTTCTTTTTGAATCACAGTGTTTACTGATAGAAGTGATGATGATCTTTTTTTTAGGTCAGGCATCATTCTAAATTTTATACACACACACACACACACACACACACACACAAAGTAATGTCAAATAAAGATTAAATTCCCTTTGGAACATGTTCTCAAGGGACTATACAGTTTTTTAAATTTTACTAGCATTTTGTTGTATATAATTGCTCCAATAAATGGGTTACTGCTTGAAGTTAGAAAATGAATAAAATTGTACTTGTACTGATACACAACACAATGAAAAATTTAGGATTCTTTCCAAAAGACAATGCAGGTAAAAAGCCTAACCCACCAATGGAGGCAATGGAATAGTATTAGACATCTGTGTGCTATAAGAGATCCTACACTTAAGAGTCACAGTTGGCCAAAAGACCATTCAGAAGGGCAAAGAACTTTAGAAGTCCTTTAACTTCTACTTGAATGTCTGTGGTGATGTGAACCCACTACTTACAGAGGCCCTACTTACATCACTGGGTTTTAGAGAATGCCTAAAGTTTGACAGCACTATGCTAGTTTCTATCAATTTCTCCCTTTATCCCCCTCAAGTCTGAAATATAACATAAGGATAAGCTGAATACAAAATTTTTAAAGCCATGAAATGATGAAAGTAGTCATAATGATGAAGGAGGCTACTTAAGTTCAAGATGGGCTGGCCAGTATTAGCACACATGCCCAAAGGGGCACGCACAGTAAAAATCAGTGATGCTTTCACTGAAGGATGGACACTAGAGAGGTGTAGCTAATGAGAGTATGATGACTTGGTGTGAGTAACTCTAGGTCCTTTAGTGCTCCAAGTTCCCCCATTCTAAGGTCCAGTAGCTCTGAGTGTAGGGGCACAGATCCTTGTGACTCATTCGGTTATAGAGACAAGAGACGGTCCCCCAGAATCTCCTTTCCCAGTTACAGTTCTAAGATGGAATCAGTGAGCCCACTATAGGGAATACACATGTACAATTGATATGAGAAGAGCTGGCCTAGACGTTAGAACTTTGAAGATAACTCCACCTCCTTCAACTGTCCCTTACCATTCAAGAGAAACCTCTACACTATTGCCGTTCAGTTCTTAGATCTTAAATATAACTCCAATGTCAAAAAGGTATAAAGAATTTATCTTCCCATATGCAGATAAAAGACTTTCTAAGCACTAATAAACCACTGACCCATTATTCCTTGTGGCATTATTAGGTCGGACCAATCCTTGATATCTTCAAATTTCACTTTAATGAGGCTGACGCCTTTCAGCTTATCGACTGGCAGCTCCTTTATGTATTCCAGACGACTAAAGAAGAAAACTTTCGGCACAGCTCCAGCCTTGAGAGCGTCAGCAATAAGCCGGCGACCTTCCAGGAGGATCTTCCCTTGCTTTTCCCGAAATGGCCTGGACTTAACTATTGTCATTACACTGCTGTGGGTGAAAACAAAAAACAAATAATTACCAACATCCTCGTTACTGAGACACACCTAGTTCTAACGGACTTAAAAAGCTTGGCAGAGGCAGAAACAAATTCCAAAGCAGACACTTATTCTCCTCTCCGTATATAATAAAAACCAGCAGGCTGTACTGGAAAAAGTCCTCCATCAGGAACAGGAGGAGGTTAAGGTCCCGCTGTGAGGCGGGAAGGGAAACAAGAACATTCGACAAGGCTCAGGAACACATCACCTCAGCCTCCTGTCCCCGGAAAAAGCCTTATCGTAGCGAAGCCCCGACTCTTCCCAGGTGCTGGGCGTCTGCGTTGGAGACCCCTGAAGCGTCTGTTTCTGCTGCTGTCCGTGGGAACTGGCCTCGGACGCCGCCTTGCGGGGCTGCTTCGCAGGAGCACGCTTTCTTTCCACCACCTGTCCGGATGGAAACACCACTTTCACGGGGCTCCGCCGCAAGGCTCGGACCCAGCGCCGCGCCTCGAGGTCCCAAGACTGGACCACCGGCAGCAACGGTCTCATGGTAAGCCACACAACCCGCGCCAGCGCCGCCATCTTCCCCGAGCCGTGGCCTCCGTCAGGAGCGCGCGCCGGCGGCGGCCAGTGACGTCACCGGCCCGGTGCTCCATCGGTGGGCGGGGCGGCGCCGAGCGCGTGACGGCTGAGAGGCTGCGGGAGTCATGGCTGCTCGCCGAGCCCTGCACTTCGTGTTCAAAGTGGGAAACCGCTTCCAGACCGCGCGTTTCTATCGGGATATCCTGGGAATGAAGGTGCAGGCTGGGGCAGACTGGGGCTGGCGCGCGAGTCTGGAACGGGCGCCTGAGCCGCCCCTGGCAGAGGGAGGGGAGAAATGGGTGTGCCGGGAACCTCAGCTGGAGGGTGTCCGACCTCAGGCCCAGGACGCCCGGTTGACCCTGCATGGGGTTCAGCTTCAGGAAGCGTTGCGAGTCACAAATTGGGTGAATAGGCCTTTGAAACGGGGCTTACACTTAGTCACCAACTGTGTGCCCACGCACATTCTTTCATTTAAGTTCACTTACAAATATTTATTGAGCCCCGCCCTTGTGGAGCTTACGGTCTACTGCGAGAGACAGTGATTAAAAAGTTATATAATGCTTTTCCAATTAACAGTAACTCAGTTTCTTCCGGTTTGGATCCTTTGATTTACATAATCAGCATATTCAAAGTTCTGCTTCTATCAGGGCTGGTCTCAGTGGTCTCTTTCGGATACTCAATCTCTCTGGGGAAATGCTCCAACTCTCCTTTCAATAATCCAGATCTAAATATGAGGTCAGAGCCCGTCTCCTTTCCAACACCTGGAAGCGGCCTCTCTTCCCAGTCCTGAGAAGCTGTGATGCTGCCAGGAATTACTTGGCTGGAAAAGGCAGGTGAAAGTTTCCGGGGAGTTCCTGATAAGCCAGGGAACACACCAGTGAGGAAGGCTTTACAGGTGTAAGAGCGCAATGTAATGTAGAGACAGTGCAGTAAATGTGGAGTGCAAAAGAAGTTAACTGAATTCGTCAGTCATTTAAAAAATATCTGCTATGTTTCAGGGTACTATGTAGAATTTTGGCAACAAAGGCGTGAATGACCCTGGTATGTGACCTCAGTTAGAGTCATGGTCTGGGTTGGGGTGGGAGTGCAATTTGGATTTGTACATAGCCCACAGTAATGAAGTCAGAATTTTATAAGTGATGGCAGAAATCTGCAAAGTTTTCCTTTATTGTATTTCCTCACTGATCAAAGGATTTTGTGAAGATTAAACACATTATATGCATAGTATTTGACACATAGATAGTATATGAATGTTTGCTACTATTATAAAAATACAAAAGAAGGATTGATTTTCCAACCTGGGTGGTCAGAAAATAATTCATGGAGACCTGGCATACAAGTTGACTTCTATAGACAGGTAGGAGTTCCACAGATAGATGAAGGAGAGGAGTTATCCTAGAAAAACTGAATAGCCAGTACAAAAGTAACACATGTTTGGGAAACCACTAATTTTACATGCCTTTAGCTAAGGTTGCTTAGTTGAAGTTGAGGAGATGGGATATCAGGAGAAATAGGATGGGATTGCTTCTGATAGTATCTTGAATGCTGGGCTAAGGAATTTGTATTTTATGTTGCAGTAAGTAGGGAACTCACGTTTTTGAACAGGGTGGTATTGTGATCAGAGCTGTGCTTCAGAGACATATTTTTATGGTGGTGTTAAGAAAGGAGATCAATAAAGATGATTTTTAATGGCCTGAGAGAAGTGACGGGAGCTTGAACTGGAGCAGTGGTAGTGGAAGTCAAAAAGGAAAATAAAAACTAAGACATTAAGAGCCTACTGTTTACAACGTTCTGCGTTAGATGTTTTAATAAGTTATCCTTTTTCATGATATATCAGGAGACTGAGACTCAGATCCGACTTACTCAATTTAGTAGAGTTACACAACTACTAAGTGACAGATGGAATTCCAAATCAGACTTCTCTAATGTTGAAAGACATACTTTTTCCCCACTACCCAGCACTGCTTCCCAATCTAAATAGATTTCACAACTTGCTTGGTAGCCTAACCCTTGGTGTCAAGCTGTTCTTCCTTACCTCTACTACTTCTAGCCTAGGAAAGGTATAAAGCTCATTCTCTTTTGTTCTTTTACAAGTAGAGCTTACAAATGATAGTATCTGTGTGTTGACATTTTAGCTTGTGTTAAAGATGCTATGAGCAGTACTAGTAAAACTTTACAGTTTATTCTAATTCCCTTACCAGGTTCTGCGGCATGAGGAATTTGAAGAAGGCTGCAAAGCTTCCTGTAATGGGTATGATACCTTGTTTCTTAAAATCTCCTCTAGGCTTTGAATACTGGAGAACAGAAGACAGTTTCTCAAAGTGAGTACAAGGCAGTGGAATAAAAAAAAATGAGGCAATAAATTAGAGAGGCAATTTCAAGAACATTGGGAAAACATACTCAGTTTCTCTATATTGTCATACAACACTCATGACACAACAAGCGGTCCTCCAAGTCTCTGAATACCAGCTGGGTGTCCTGTTACTTAATTCAGTTCTGACGCTACATAGAATTAGTGTTAGATCCCACAAGTTAAGCGCTCAGTCTCCTACAAAACTGGCCCCTCTTCAGATGCCAGTCACAAGTCTGGACCTCCCGATTTCTGACAGGGGTTCCCACACCCCCTCCTCGGGTTTGATAATTTGCTGCTAAGTCACCCATTAGCGTATGCTCAGATATGATTGAAAGGGGCTCATTGTGAATAATGAAAGACGTTCTTGTAATTCAGGAAATTCCAAGAGTTTTAGGAGCTTTGTGGCAGGAACCAGGGACTAAGACCAAATATATTTCATATTAATCACAAACACAAATGAATATATGCCGTGGATGAAGCAATGGCTATCGAGTATCTTTTAAGTTTAGTAGCCATAGCAAGTTGGGAAATTCTAAGGCCTGTTGGGAATTGCGTGCTTGTTGATTGATATGCAAAGAAATAAACTAAGGTCAGATTGGAGAATTGTTTTTAGGATTCCATTCTGTGCATTAAAGAAAAGGTAAAAGAATTTTTTCCCCAGGTAAATGCCAAATGGATGGTATTTGGAGCTTGAGCACCCATGAGCACTGTCCACAGGTTCTTTCAGCACCATCTGAAATTATCTCATCTTTATGAGTACTTCTAGAATGAGAATGGACTGCCCACCTTTCTGTGCCCAGGGGGTGGCCTGAGGCAGATTTTGTCTGTGGTTACTGAGTGCATTTACTTTCATTTTCTAGGCCTTATGATGGGAGATGGAGTAAAACAATGGTGGGATTTGGGCCTGAGGATGATCATTTTGTTGTAGAACTGACTTACAATTATGGCATCGGAGACTACAAGCTTGGCAATGACTTCATGGTAAATATCATTTTTTTCTAGCAGGTTTTTGGCTAGGATAGATGGTTGGTTTTAATTTTCAGGGTGGTAAGGGTGTGTGTCAATGAGGAGGTGACATTTGAACACAGTCTTAAAGGAGGCAAAGAGGTTAGCCATATGGGTATCTGGGGCAAGAGCAGTCCAGACAGAGAGTAGCCTGTGCAGAAGCCCTCAAGTAGCACCTGGCATGTTCCAGAAAATGCAAGGAAGCCAGTGTGGCTGGACTAGAGAGAGCAAGGGGAAAGTGGTAGGAGGTGGGGGCAGAAGTGGCATAGGGTGAGATTGTGTTGGGCCTTTTAGGTCATAGTAAGCCATCCCTGAGGGAAATGAAGGGCTGTGGGAGAATTTTGAGCAGAGGAAAAACAGGTCTGGTGACTGTCTTGAGAATAGACCTATAGAATGTGTTTGGAAAGTTTACTTTGGCTGCAGAAGTGGACGATGGCTTGACAAGACTAGAGGCAGAAAGGCTGTTAGAAAAATCCAAGCCAGAAACCAAGCTGGTCTTTCATCTGAAGACATAGGTGTACATTTCTAGCTACTTTGATTAAATTTAAGATTTTTTTTTGTTGGATAAGCAAAAGCAAGTCATCTTAAATAGGTAGCTGACAGGCCAAGGTAAGACCAAGATTTCTCTGGCAAGAGCTTTAAAATTAGAAGAGGTTATCTTTGGTATTAAATGAATCGGACTTCACTGGCATTTGAATTTCTGTCCTATGATTCATGAAGGTCTGGATTTTTGTGGGAGAAAACATGCAAAACCTATTTTAAGATCACTAGAAGAAAATTTTGAATGCCAATGAAATCTTAGGTGATTTGACCTAAAGGCAGTGGAGTATGGGCTCATTATCATGTTCTATAAAAGATCTGTTGTGATGATACTATTGTTTGTTATAGGGTATCACCCTCGCTTCTAGCCAGGCTGTCAGCAATGCCAGGAAACTGCAGTGGCCACTCAGTGAAGTTGCAGAAGGTATTTTTGAAACTGAGGCCCCAGGAGGATATAAGTTCTATTTGCAGAATCACAATCTACCTCAGTCAGGTAATTATATCAGGACTAGTAAAAGCCTCTGTTTAAAGGCATCTTCGATGGAAGGAGAGAGGGAGCTGCATTTCTTTCTGTTGTAGAGTCTTTCTATATTGATATGACATATGACTTCCCAAGCAGTGTTTTTATTATGCCTGTTCTCTGAGAAAGCATATTCTCATATTAGAAATTTAGAACGTAACTACAGGGGATCTAGACTGGTTCTATTCTACTGGTAATGTATTGATTTAGGATTCTTTCAGCTGCAAATAACAGAAAATCCAACTAGTTTGAACAATTTGAAAATTTCTTAGCTCACAGAGCAAGTATTCTATAGGTAGGAAAGCTTTCAGGGTTAGTTGATTCAGTAGCTCAGCAATGGCATCAAGAACCCAAATTTTCTTTCTATATTCTGTTGTCCTTGGGATACTTTTCCTAGAGCGTATCCCCTCATGGTGGCAGGATGGCTGCCAGTAGCAATTGGCTCCCACATTCACATCTGGTAGGACAGGGAAAGACCAACTTCTTATTGCTCCTTTTAAGAGCAGAGGAAAACTTTCCTAGAAACTTCCAGTAAACTTCCTTGTCAGATGTGGTACACTGTGCCTGCTCCTGAATCAATCCCTAGCAAGACAAATAGGATTATCCCTAAACCAGTTGGCCATGCCCTTTGAGCCAGGTTAGTTTCCCCAACACTTGAGTGAGTGAAGGAATGGAAGTGAGGAGCCCACCACGCTGACTCTGCACAGACTAAGAAAGAAGCTTTGCAAGGTGTGGTTTGTTTACTGCAGAAGCAGCCTCATTCCTGCAAATTCAACTACCTGCCCCACCAAAACAGAAGCAAAAAAGGGGGAAACTACTGGTGACGAGCAAGGGCAGTTCTGCCTGCCATTTCACTTTTTGAATGTACACCTACAAGTGGACCTGAGAAGAGAGCATATAAATTCTCTTTCCCCCAGTGGTCTGCCTCAGGTCCCAAAGGCCCGTCATGCTGAGTCTGATTATAGCATTTAATGCTATTTGTTCTTCATCTTGTGCTAAGCAAAAGAAAGACCATTCCAGTGTGAGAGGTCAGACTGGCTGTGTGGGACTTATTGAGAGATGATATTTCTGTACTTTACTGGTGATTGAAAGGATTTTTATGGTTATTTTTGTTGATAGGTGATTGTTGCTTTATATACTGACTTAACACTTAACTCCTGCAACTAACTCCACTGTAAATTTTTTTTTCTCTAGTCTTAGTCATATTTCAGTACTTAACAGAGAGCCCCACAAACCTAAGATGTTTTTGTCCTTCGAAATAGTAGTACCTTTTCAGCATTAATTTCTGATTGGTAAGGTAGTCAGTTCTGTCTGTCTAGCTGGCATTTAGCCTGCCTTTGAATTACTTGCTCTTGTGCAGTTTCACCCACTTGTTACCATTCCTGTCCTATATCCCTTCAGGCTCTGAGTCAGTTGGGATTTGTTGATTTTGAAATTAATGGAGAGCATGAAAATTGAGTCTACCAGGCATAGGCACTCGTGAGAAACACTTGTCTTAGTCACGGTATTGGAATTCTAGCAAACAGGACTGAGGCAGTGAAAACCAGAGAAAAACGTATTGAATTTATCATAGTCAGATGCAGATGTGGAACAGCTCTTCAGAAAGTCACTTTATAATAATACAAAAAGTTTCCAATAATGTTAGTAGTTTTAATATAACTTTTATTCTTTTTACAAAATAATAGATTTTTCCTTACATAAACAGATAAGCAAAAGAAAAGAAAAGAAAGTAGAAAACAGTACCCTCCCCCAACCTATCCAGAGGTAACCACTGTTAACATTTTAGAGTATATCTTTCCAACCTTTTTTTTTGAGACAGAGTTTTGCTCTGTTGCCCGGACTAGAGTGCCGTGGCATCAGCCTAGCTCACAGCAATCTCAGACTCCTGGGCTCAAGCGATCCTCCTGCCTCAGCCTCCCAAGTGGCTGGAACTACAGGCATGTGCCACCACGCCCGGCTAATTTTTATATATATGTATTTTTTTAGTTGTCCAGATCATTTCTTTCTATTTTTTAGTAGAGACGGGGTCTCGCTCTTGCTGGTCTTGAACTCCTGACCTTGAGTGATCCACTCGCCTCGGCCTCCAGGAGTGCTAGGATTACAGGCATGAGCCACCACGCCCAGCCTATCTTTCCAATCTTTTATTTAAAAAAAATATAATTAAGTATATACATCTCTTTGTATTCCATTGTAGGAATTCCATTGTGTTATTAACATTGTAGGAAGATAAACAATTCTCTGTTGTTGGGTATTTATGTTGTTCCTAGTGTTTCATTGTTCTAAGCAATGCTGTGATGAATGTCTTTGTGATAAAAGCCCTTCATACATCCACAATTACTTCTTGAATTGCTGAAAATAGACTTGCTCTTTCAAAAGCGATGAACATTTTTAAGGCTTTTGGTACATTCTGTCAAATTGTTGCCCAGAAACATCCTAATTTATACTGTACCAGTATTATATTAGATTATGATTTCTACCCACCCCCGTACTAATACAGTTAATATTGTGAACTTTTAAAATTATTTGGGATTAGATAACAAAATATTTTATTTGAATTCTAATTTCTTTGATTATTTGTGAGGTTGAATGTTTTTTCATATGTTCATTGATCATTCCGATTCCTTTTGTGGATACTGCTTTGTGCCTTTTGCCTCTTTTTCGTAGATGTTCATCTTTTTCCTGTTAATATTTAAAGGTGATTTACATATTAAGGATTTTTTTATCCTATATGTTGCAATTTTTTTTTCTATTTTGTTGTTTACTCTTTAATTTTGATTATAATTCTTTTTTTTGGTGGTTTTTGTCTAGGAGTTTTCCGTAATTGACCTAGGAGACTTTTTTTTCTTCATAGTTTTTCTATCTTTGGAGTCAGGTTTAAAGAAAAATCTTGCTCCTGCCAAAATTGCATAAATAATCATCTCTATCTAATATTTTCATGGTTTCATTCTATAAACTTAATCCTTTAACCCATCGGGAATGTATTTTGTCATTTAGTTCAAAGGTGTAACTTTTTCCTACCAAATGGTGAGCCAGTTATCTCAGTGCCATTTATTGAATAATGTTGTCTTTCCTACTGTCTTAAAATCCCTTTCTTACCATAAACTAAATTCTTATATATACATGAGCCTGTTTTGGTCTTTCTATTGTATTCCACTGAACTGACCTATCTATTCTTGCTATTTTATTATCCAACAGATCCTGTATTAAAAGTAACTCTAACAGTGTCTGATCTTCAGAAGTCCTTGAACTACTGGTCTAATCTACTGGGAATGAAAATTTATGAAAAAGATGAAGAGAAGCAAAGGGCTTTGCTGGGCTATGCTGATAACCAGGTAAACAATCTTGGAGAGAAATAACTAACCTGTTACTCTGAGTTTGGCTTATAAATGAGGTTAAAATGAAGTTTGTTCGCATACTTTCTTCAGTGATTCAACATTTATACAGATAAACAGAAAGAAGAAAATAAAAATTAGTGATTACGTCACCACCCAGATAGTACCTTTGTTTATATTTGGGGATATATTCTTTCAGAAGTGGAATTACTTAATCAGAAGAGATGTAGACAACATTTAATGCATGCTGTATTTTCATTTTTTAAAACAATAACCTAGTATTTGAACATGATTTAGTCTTTGCACTTTGACCCAACAATTCTCCTAGGAAATGTTTTACGTATATACTCAACATACTTACGCATAAAGACGTGTGTACAAGGTTATCTGTTGCAGCATTGTTTGTAATAGGAAAATATAAGGAAATCAGTATCCTATGGATTAGAGGAATATTTCAGTAATTTATGGTTCATTCATAGAATGGATTACTATATAGCTATCAAAGAGACTGAGGCAAGTTTTATGTACTGATATGATAATAGTAAGTGGAAGAAAACAAGGAACAGAATAATTTTTAAATTGTTCTGTTTGTGTAAAAAGACATATGCATGCGTTGTGTCTGGAAGGATACACAGGAAACTGCTGACTAGTTCTCTCTGGGGTGATAGCAGGAGAGAGACTTAGTTTTTACTTTATTCCTTTAGTCTACTGCTTGGATTTTTTTTTTTTTTTTACTTCATACTTGTATAACCTGTTTCAAAAAACAAACCTACTTTCTGATTTCAGTGTAAGCTGGAGCTACAGGGCATCAAGGGTGCAGTTGATCATGCAGCAGCGTTTGGAAGAATTGCCTTTTCTTGCCCCCAAAAGGAGGTAATGTTTGATACCAGATCTTTTGTTTAAGCTCTGTGACTAGCTAGGTCAATCCAACTAAAAGCTTGCCCTTTCTCCCTTCTTGAGGTTCATTCTGATTGTGGCTTTGGTATCAAGTTCAACAGTTGTTTCAAGAGCGGCTGAGATAATAAAATCAAACAGGTGGCGCCTTGGTTCTTTCTGGCTGATCTGATACTCCTCTAGAGCTGATGAAGGCCATGCCATAAGAGTACTTCGTGACCCCTTTACCCACTTTGCCTCTGTGTTTTCCTCAAGTTGCCAGGCTTGGAAGACTTGATGAAAAGGGAGAACCAGAAGATTCTTACTCCTCTGGTGAGCCTGGATACCCCAGGGAAAGCAACAGTGCAAGTGGTCATTCTGGCTGACCCTGTAAGTATTACTCAGGAAGGGGACAGGCTGTACCGGGCTTTCTTTGGAGATGTCTTTTTGCCAAATTTCTTTTCTCTTTATTGATGTAGGATGGACATGAAATTTGCTTTGTTGGGGATGAAGCATTTCGAGAACTTTCTAAGATGGATCCAGAGGGAAGCAAATTGTTAGATGATGTGAGTCTCATTTCTAAATTGACATCACCATAGGCCTGAGGGGGATGGCATTAAGTGTATATGGGGAAGGGCCAAAGCATCAGGGTCCAGGTTCTTACTGTAAGAACCATGTCCTTTTGCTGTTGGGTGACTTTTGAGCCAAGGACCTATGTCTTCATTGCCACCTATGTGACCCCTTATCTGGACTCAGCATTTGTGCCTTCCTGCTGCCTCAGGCTGCCATGGGAACCACTGCTCCTGTATACATCATTATTTTGCTCAGTGAATGGAAATGCCTGGATACCACCCCCTCTCACTTCTGGAGCTCTTTTGGTCATCTCCTCTCCATTTGACAGTATTGGTGTCTTCCTTTCTAGTAAATTGTTCTCATCAGTATACAAACAAGCTCCAATAGCTCTTATCTTTCACAAACCTTTTATTGGCCCCATGTGTCTTCTCCAGATTTCTTCTTTTAAAAATCTGACAACAGGGGCCAGGCGCGGTGGCTCATGCTTGTAATCCTAGCACTCTGGGAGGCCGAAGCAGGCGGATTGTTTGAGCTCAGGAGTTCGAGACCAGCCTGAGCAAGAGTGAGACCCCGTCTCTACCAAAAAAAAATAGAAAGAAATTAATTGGACAGCTAAAAATACATAGAAAAAAAATTAGCCGGGCATGGTGGCGCATGCCTGTAGTCCCAGCTACTTGGGAGGCTGAGGCAGTAGGATTGCTTGAGCCCAGGAGTCTGAGGTTGCTGTGAGCTAGGCTGACACCACGGCACTCACTCTAGCCCAGGCAACAAAGTGAGACACTGTCTCAAAAAAAAATAATAATAAAAAATAAATCTGACAACACACTGCTTCTACTTTGTACCTCCTGTTTACAATTCAGTCTGTTCTTCACAGGCTAAGTGCTCATGTTGATGTCATCAATGCCCAGCGCCCTCCATCTTGCCAAATCCAGCAACTACTTTTAATTTCTCATCAGACTCGCTCAGAAGCATTCAAAGCAGTCATTCATTGTTGGATCCCAGCTTCCAACACAGACTTGGCATGCAGACATTCTGAGAATACTTCGTTGAATGAGTAAAGGAATAAATCAGTCTACCCTGGTTCTGTCACTTAATATCGGTGACTGATCTTAAGAGATTTCCCTAGATTCTCTGAACTTTAGTCTCCTTATCTAAAAATTTGAGAACATAAGAGTATCTACCTCATAAAATTTTTGTGGTTTATAGATCTTGGCAAACTGCTGACATAATAGCAGGTGCTCGATTAATATTAATTAAAGCAGGAAATGTGTAGAAAATACAGGCTTTATGAATGTTATCATGGAGGAAAATAGAATCTCAGTCATTGTCTCAGCTGGCAAATTTGCTAGACTTTTTCCTTCTCACTCTTTCATACCATTGATGAACTTCCTCCTCCTTTGAGCTCTCTTCTCCTTTAGTGTTAGAGACCCTGCCATTTCCTTATCTTTCTGACAACTTCTCTTCAGTCGTGGGCACCTCTTTCTGTATCTAATCACAAAATGCTTTTTACCCACAGTCCCACTTTGGCTGTCTTTTATTCTCATTCTGCATTCTTCCTTTACTCCGAGGAGAAGTTACCTGCTACTCTGGTTACCTCTGCTCTGAACTGCCACCATCATCAGATTTCTGCCTTCCTAATTTCTAGTTCCTCACTCCTTCCTGAGCTCCAGGCATGTAGTTGTTGACAAGGCATAACTTAAGTAGAATTTAAATGTGTCTTGACAGCTGTAGATACTCATACAGCCACTACTTAAAACAAAGCGTAGACCACTTTTATTATTGCAGAAGTTTCCTCTGCCCATTGCCAATTAGTTTGCACCCCCATGTCTCAGAGGCAACTACCATTCTGATTTCTGTCACTGCAGCCTTGTTTTCTTTGTCCTCGGACTTCATACAGATGGAATCACTCTGTAGGTATTCTTTT